GATTAGATTAAAAATGTTAGGTAAGTTAGTTAATTATAAGAAATATGACACTTTTTTTCTAAAATACCATAATTATTTTTCTTAATATCCTCTTTTCCTCTTCTACTTGATTATGGTTGAGGGAGTATCCATAGGAATAATTTAGAAAAAAATGATAAATATAAGAAATAGATCTTATATTTATGACCAAAATCAACTCAACAATTAGGTCATATATTAAGGATTGGAAGAGTATATAACAAGAATATTTTATCGAAAATTAATGATCACATTCTTATTCTTAATAAATATAAACAGTAGTAATATATAATTATGCCAATATTAAATTATTATTCTATTTATAAAAATATTTAATAAATGTGGCAAAAGATATTTTGGGTTTTATAGTATCACCGCTTTATTAATTCATTATTATTTATTTTAACTATTATATAACATCACTAAAATAAAATAAAATATGTTTTCAGGCACTACAATGATAATATGATAATTTTCTATAGTATTAAACTAAAGATGACCTTAAGATTTTCCAAACTTGAATATTTATCAATCGTTTATTAAAATTTTTACACCATTATTAATAATTAATACCAGAACATACTAAAATGTGTAAGTGAAAGAGGATTAAGAAAAAAAAACAAGAATAATGATTTGCAAAAGAAAAATTGGTAGGAGAAGACAATCCAATGGAAAGAAAAATGGCCCCACAAAGTAGGGGCACATATAAATCAGAGGCTTTATTTTAATTTTTAGGGACCTAAAAAAATCCAAAGATGAGAATGATATGCCCAACACTTTACATTTTTAAAGTTCAAACAAAGCCTCCACATTGGACCCAAAATGTCTCCTCCCATAACCTTATTTCACATTTTGTTCCCTCTTGATGGGACGCGTTATTTTGGCACCATTTGCTTCTTAATTAATCATTAATTAATATTAAAAAATTTAATCACAATTAATCAAATGCCTTTTTTTTTTTTTTCCTTTCCTCATCATTCTTTTACCATTCCCTGTCTTCAAATGCATGTGTAACATAATTGAGAATAAAATCCCCTTTTTGGCCGCTAATCACGCCACATGGCATCCTATCTAAATAATAATGAATCAAAGCACCTCCATTTTGAGCATAATTAATTCAATTTCATATTATTATCTTAAACTAAATGTACCCTTATATTAGTTTATTGCACCTTTTTTATTTTGATTTAATGGAGAATAACAATATCAGAAATACAAACAACAAAAGTTTCATAACTTTTTGGATCATGGATCAATACTTAAGAATTTAGTTTTATCAGCAAGATAACATATAGACAACAAGCCGTTAATCAACAGATAAATCCAGACTTTATTCATCATGCGCAAATGAGGGATAATTAATTGGATATTTGCTAGAAATTTAAAACAATATGTTCTTTTTATATATCATATCATCAATCAACGCATTCTAGATTCTACTTATAAAGCATTTAGAACATAGTATTCATTTGGTTCTATTTATAAGTTACTTTTAGCATATTTCACATATATCAAACAAAACCTTAAATTTCATTAACTCTTATTTAAAATTCAATAATTTTTTTAACTTTATCCCTATTTAATATACGTTATACATTATTTAAACAAAGTCAACACAATAATAAATGAAGAGTAAAATTGTATATCCATACAAAAAAATTTATTTCAGTGTCTTATAAATAGGACCAAAAAAATATTTTTTTCTCTGCCTTATAAATAGAACTAGACTCTAGAGGAGTATTTCACTAGAATCAAGAAAAATTTCAACTCTCCTTAATCATGTGTTAAAATTTAATGAATTTTTTTTACTCTACGCCTGACTTAGTATACACTTTTTTTTAAAGAAAATAACAGTATAAATATTAATAAATTAAAATAATATATTTATACGATAAAATTAATGAGATGACTTATATTAAGAACTTTCGGTAAAAAAAAAAAATTATATTAAGAACTAAAACTACTCTCTATGTTCTATAAATAAGAACAAAGGAATAAATGCAATTAATTTTGTTATGGGCCCACGGACATAAGGCAGTGCCTAAATTAGGCTTTAATGATTGCACGTTAATCTCATGAGCAATTAAGCTATTCACCCGTTAGGCCGGTTTATCAGGGTATAATGTCCTACACCTCAAACCCACGAGTTGCTCACCCACTTTTTAATTTTATATGTGTATATATATAATTATAATATAATTATCAGGGCTTTTTCTTTTCATGTGTTATGTTATTAATTTTAAAAATAAATCACACTATTTATGATTTACATATAATATTAGTGTAGCTTGTTATAACTCTCACTGTATTACGGTAAGATACTTCCTCTACTTTATAGTATTTGTTTTCTTTCAACATCTTTATCTAGAAAATAAAACAAAATAAATTAAAATTTTTAGTTAAATAATAATAAATTTTACCACGTTCAAAGCTATTTAATAGCTTTCCTATTTTATATGCATTATTATTTATTACAGCTATACCAATGTGATCAATGGATGTTAGCACCTAAAGTTCGTGGTTAGTGGGTCCAATCATTAATAGATTATTAATTACTTTGAGTAAGAGCAATTTAATTTGACAGCAAACTTTGGAAAAACAAAAAAGATGCCAAAAGAAGATGGTTAAAGGATAGGGATAGGTACTCACTTCTATTCTTTTTAGTTGTGGTTTAAAATTTTAGCATACAAATTATTAATTAATAAATACTACTCCATTCTTTATTATCAGATCATTTTAACTAAATTGCATGGTTTAAGAAAATAGTTAAAATTAGTTAAAAGCAATTAATCTGTAGCAAATGCAGTTTTTTCTCTCCAAATATATCCATATATATATAAATAGATAAATATGAGAGAGTGATAATGAGATAAATGATGAAAAAGAATGTATTAAATACATTAAATTAGGGGTAAAATAGGTAATACTGTATTAAATACTGAGACAAACTCAAAGAGAATTTTATAAAAAAGGACAAACCCATTCAAAAAATTAGATCTTATAACAAGGGAACAAAAGGAGTATGCTTAATATGTCATATTCCCTTTTAATTTTTTTAAAATATTCTCGTACATTATTACTACCCAGTTTTATAATAAGCTTGTAAGGAACATCAATCTTAGCAAAGATAACAAGAGCATAATTGGAAAATGCTAATTAATACTCCCTCCGTTCCTTATTATAAGAGACATTTGATGCTTATGCCATGTTCCTATATATAAGAGACACTTAAAAGTTGTCTCTACTTTTTTGTGTTGATTTCCTATTTTACTCATATTTATTGTCTCCAACTCACACTCTCTCTCCCTCTCACTTCTCTTTCTTTCAATAATTTAATTATTCTCTCTCATGCTCTCTCTCCTTATTAATGAGGGCATTTTTGAAAAAAAAATTATATTCATTGTTCTTAACTAATTTTAACTGCTTTTTTGATCAACGTAATTCGGTTATTCGTCTCTTATAATAAGGAACGGAGGGAGTATTACTTATATTTTCTTAAAAATAATACATAGATATTTCTTAAGATGATAACTAAAAAGAAGTAAAGTGAATGGGAACCTACATTGCAGTGTTAGTATTGAAAGTGCATGAAAATCATCAGTTAAATTGATTTCTTATGTTGGAAGGATTGAATTTAGAGAAGAAAAGATGAAATTCTCTTTTGCTGCCCTTTACTCTTTTGGAATAATAAAGTGGCGAAAGTAATGAAATTATGTATGAAAGGTTACATTCTTACAAGAGAGTTAAACTCCTTTTGAAAAGGATTTCTTTTTATTGTTTACATTTATTATATATTCATAATTATTATTCAATAGCTCTTATTTCGATATTTTTGTATTGTTGAAAAGGATTTCTTTTTATTGTTTACATTTATTATATATTCATAATTATTATTCAATAGCTCTTATTTCTCAACAATACAAACATAAAATTTATTTTTCTAACGTGAATATTATTTTAATATTTTGATATGCACTATCTATCGAAGAAATTCTAAATATATCTACACAAGAGAATATACTTCGCAGTCAAGTGTAAAGTTTAGAGTTGGGCTCAAATTAACCTGTCATTTTTTAAATAAAAGTTTAAATGAGTTAGATTTTGAAAGTTGACATCAAGATAAATTTTAAAATTAAAAATATTCACAACCTAGCTTTTGAATCAGATAGTCGAGTCCTTATAATTTTAAGTGACCAATAATAAAAGGAAAAAAAATTATAGGGATTAGATTAAAAATCAAGTGTAACTATAAGAAACTTCATAAAAAAAAAACTACAAAGATCTAATTAAAAATAAGGTAAATCCATGCAGATTAATTTTTCTTACTTGTTAATAAGGATTTTCGTAAATTTTTATCTCTCTCCTGGACTCCCTTTCACATGCAAAACACGAGAAGTTTCCTCCCTCTCTATCTCTCTTCTTTCTTTCTTTCTTTCTTGCTTTCTCTATAGTCTTCCCTAACACAGTTCAACTTTGTAAGTAAAGAAATGAAAGCTAAAGTGATAGAAATGGGAAGAGCTTTCTTCATGTTGCAAACGCTTTTGCCATCCTTTCCTGCCATCAGTGCTGCTAATTCGCTTTACTTTTGGGTCATGTTATTGCTCATAAGGCAGACTATGCCCATTGGCACTTCTCTTTTTTGGGTTCTTTTTTGGCACTTCAGACAAAGTATGCAAAGGAAGTTTGACTGAACCAATTGAACATAAACCAAGGGAAAAAAACAAGCAACATTAGTTCTTGGTTTGTCCTTCTATCTTTCTTTCTTTCTTTCTTGAGGACCTGAAAATATAATGAACAGAGCAATTCTTCAAGATTATTCTTTCCAGTAATTTAGAATTACTATGTTTTTAAGCAATAGTCAACAACAAGCTGCCTCAGTAATAGCATTATTTTTAACATCTGGGCGAGGTCAATGACTCAAACCCAGTGTTAACGTAATTGTATGTGAGTATATTTACATTAGTTAAGGAAAAGTCTTTAAGCAATAAGAGCCCCTGCACTTCTCAGCAGAGACAATATGAATTTAATATAATTAAAGAATGCTCGTATCTGTGGTGTTTCGGCAATCCTCTCTGATTTGCCTTCAGAAAAATTTTCCTTACAATTGATGCAAAGTTGAATCAAACAAACCACTCTTCCTACTTCTAACCAATCTAGCAACTGCATTAACTTTCTCAATGATTGATGGAAGAAGCTCAGCTGCTTCATCATGTAACTGAGTTCCAGCTCCTTCTAAAATATCATCCCCACAGCTACTAATTTCTAATCTTGAAAATAACTGCACAGCACTCTCAGCTGCAGAATCCAATCTATTTAATGCATTCTTGCATGCAATTATGGTTTCCTCCGGTTTACTCTTTTTATGAAGACCTTCTTTTTTATCTCTGTCCTTGCTCATATCATCATCAACCAAATTTTCTTTGACTGTGCATCTAGCTAATGCACATTCTGAATTTGCTGAAATTTTTCTCGAATTCATGAGGTCCTATTGAAAAAGCAAACATGTAAGCGAAGTAAATAGATATGTTACAGTATCTTGATGCAATTTCTGAGGAATATAATGGAAACAGATTGTCAGTACTAGAAATGACACTAGCAATTAGCATATTCACTTATGAAAATGCTCAATAGGCTATATATAATATATCTACTTCCAATCCACATATTCTGTGAAATTTTCATCAAATTTGATAGCTGTGTATGTCTTATGCCCCTTGATGTACCTGTTCCAAAGAATTTTTTACTTCATTTTCCATCATCCTAGAGGATGCATTTTCCAACGTACTACGAATCGCGGCGTCTCCCTCACAGTTACTGGTTTTATCAGTTATATTTCTAACGGGAGTGCTAAATAGGCTCTTGCAGTCCCCAGGGCCATGATGTTGCACAACAAATCTTGCAGAGTACCTATGTAATAGTGATTTTCGTGCCTCCATCTGCACAATAACACACTTTTGAGGAAAATACGATAATAGCCATAATACAAAGCTCCAGATTGCAGTAGCTTAAATCAGTTAGAGGATGTCTTGCTTCCCTAGAGATTTGGGAGCAATTCAACCACATCTATTTATAAATCTTACGTCCAATCTTAGTGTCCTGTACAAAGATGACTCATATATTTGTTATAACTCACATTTTAGTGCTTCAATACTCAAATCAGGAAAATGATAACTAACCATTTTATTAAAAATCTTAAGTGTCATGCAGAAGGACTGACCTTTTTTGCATTTGATAAACTGCCAAAATGTTGCTTGAATAGTTCACTATCTTCTTCGGGATGCATGTTGTGTAAGTTAGACTCAGTAGAAGCTTTTGAATCACTTTCATATTCATCTGTATGTAACTGCTCTGTTGTGCTGCCAGAAATTTGTTCTGGATACTCGCAACATGATCCATTATTACTGTTGCAACCTGCAAGTTGGTCTGAGAAAAGATCCCTCTTTTCTTGTTTCATATGGCTACGGCGCTCAAAACAGCTTTGATCATTTCCGATCTCAGCCTCATCTTGTCCTGCAACAAGCCACCATTTGTAAAACAAACATCGCTTTATAAGCTTGTAAGTTGCATGAAATCACAAACGTTTGCTTTTAGCTTCAGAGTTTGGCATGCTTCCAAAATCAGGAATTTACTGAGCCTGCCATGCATGCTAAAATCATAAATACGAAAAAAACTGTAACGGATTATGCTAGTGACTATAAAAATTAATTAGCACCGCGTATCAACAGCAATATTACAGGAAAATTGAGGTCCTTTCTTGAAATAGTTGATTGCTTCGACCCTAGATTTTCATAATTATTTCACGTTCAAATAATCAATGAAATGGCCGGTTCATTTAAATTGGTCAGAAAGTAGACATAAGAGCATCTACAATAAGAAGAACGTAGAGACATGGATTTCACAGAGAACGTCTTAATTATTCGAAGCTATTAGTTGTGACAAACAAAACGCTGGTGTCATTGAGCAAGAATTTCATCCAGGAGATGTCAACACTAAAATTAAGATAAACAGATCAAATAGAAGAAATTTCACATGGAACAATGCTTTTAACATATATTTACGTAAGACACCCATAGCCATAATGGCAGCATACTGGAAACGAAAAAGTTGATGGAGAACAAGTGAGAGAAAGGGGAAGAAGAAATGTGGGAGAAATAGAGATGGGGGAGAGAGCCGACGGCAAAAATTCAGTCTCAGTAATAATTCAGCAAAAGGTCTAAAAATGGAAATAATCAAGGGCTATTTATAGAGCCCTTAATACAATAATAACTAATTAAACCTAATCTGAAATAAACCCTAACTTAAAAGAAAAGAAAACCTAACTTACCATCAGAAGCACCTATAAAATCAGACAGCAATTCATTAAACACTCTGCATGCAATGCCGTCTCCACCAAGTGCGTCCAAACGCCACACACAAGTGATTATAGTCTTAAGATTTGCAATAGAAACTCTATATTTTGTCGTCAACAACACATTCTTCAAATTAAATTTGTGAGACGCTTAATTAACAAGGTTGGTCTTCTTTCCTTTCCTCAACAAGGATGAAGACTGGGAGATAAATAATGTAAGCATAAAGGTTGGCCTTACTTAAACTTGAGGAAAACTCTGACATCTTTGTATCCATTAAACTTTGCATCTCTGGGGAGGACAAAGCATCCATGCAAACAGTATAAACAGAGAGCCAACGGTTGTCCAAAGCAAAGTTGCTGAAATTATAGTGAATCCATGAGCCAAGTATTCATGCCATCAGAAGTTAATGACTGAGACCCAATGCTTACCTGAAAGTTCCTTCAGGCCTTGAAAGACATTGAGTTTTTGTATACTGTGGTGACGAAGAAGCATGACCAACTGGCATAATGACTTCTGGGGATAGGGAATAGGCCTGATCATCACCAATGAAACCATAAGCATTCGCGTGCTAATTTTACACAATTCTCTTAGTGTGTGTTGGAGTAATCTAAGAAAGGGAAGTGTTTTGGCATGAATTTAAATTATGTAATCAGAAAATTCCTTATTTAAATTTGGATAGGATCAATTTTTAAATTACTTAGATAATTTAATCAAGTAAATTTCAAAAAACTTGCCATTCCACCAAAACATGAGAATTTGACAATTACCTCTTCCCTCTTTTTTTTTTTTTTTTTTGGGAATAACATGACCACGGTCAAAACCATCTCATAGCCTCCTCCCTCATTTTTGAGAACCCCCCCCCCCCCCCAAACAAAAAACACACACACACACACACAGCACAAGCTCAATTGCAATTTTTAAAAATATTAGGATTATACAAACAAATAATTTTAAATACAAGGAATTCAACAAAATATGGTAATGCAACATTAGATATTTACTTTATGTATTTCCATTTCTTGATATCTGTTTTATTTTCTAGTACTGTTTTTTAACTCTCAAACTTCAAAGATTAAATTTTCACTGTGGTTATATTTTTATCATTGAAGAAACATGATGGGGATTCTAAAAGGGTCCAGCAAGAATATAGAACACACATACCTCTGATAAAGTATTGTTTACACTCCCGCAGACAATATTGGAGCTGGTCACTTTGGTTTGTGCCCATTTTGGAAGTCTTGAAACACTAAATTTAAAAGCTTTAGCCTCCCTACCACTGCTTCCTGGATAAGGCATTCTCCCGCTACTTTGGTTGTTGTTCCCCAATGACCAGACATCCTCCGGATTGATTTTAGATTGCTGAAACTGCTCTTCATAGGGTGGTAGATGGCGAAAAGTAGCTGGCTGAGCTAAGCTTCTTGGAGACAATGGATTACTTTTCCCCGTTATATTCTTAAGTATTTTAGAAGACAAAGAAGCAGGCAATTTCCACAGGAAAACACAACCATCACCATCTACCTGAACACATCAATAAAAAAGTGTAGGTGGTTACAAGAAGATATTGACAACCTTCTTTTTCTATCACGGCGACAAGAAAAGCTATTTAGAGTCAAACACTATAAAAGTGACTTCCATTAGTATGTCGTCTTATATTTATTCATCTGGTCTTAAATATGCACGTTCAAGTTTCTGAACTTCATGACCTGTGAACATTTTATGCAGTGTTTTCACTCTAGTTCATACATGCAGACACATGTCAAAAGCAAAGCCCTACTTCACATACAAAGCCATGAATGCCCAAACAATGTCAAAAAGTACTGCCTAAAAATTGTGCCTGTGAGGTTTGTCCTTTCAACGACACATTAAAAAGAGTATTAATTTTAAGATTCAAGAAACGTATTGAAATGCTGTCTTTGATATGTACTCTGTGATATGAACTTTTCCTAGATCTTGACATTGTGATGGACGTGGGCATCCATTGACTTGGGTTCGGAAGAAGCCCAAGGATTTAGTAAAGGGTAATTGAGGTATTTTCTGCATGACCGTTAGAGGAAATTGTAAAGAGAGTATGGAAGGTGTAAACTGTAAAAGTGGGTTGGTCAGAGGGAGAGGGGTAAAGAAGGTTTTGCCAGACTGTTGGGAGAGCTGTGGATATTCCTCTTTGCTTGTAGTAGTTTCCCTTCATTATACCTATACTCTCTGGGTGTTTTGTGATTGAATAACATAAATCTGAGACTGTTTCCGTCACATTCCTACGCTGGAAATAAAATATGGTAAGACTGTTAATTTAATAACAGATTAAACAAATTAAAAGGTTACTTTACATAATAAGACTAGAATCGTGGTACTTGGGGAATCCTAATTGCACTCAAAAGTCATACTACGTTAATTTTAAGGATGCCTTTTTTCGGAAAATCCGTTAAGGATGAAATATTAATCATCTTGGAAGTGATGTCAAGAAGTCTCCGAGTACATCTTTGTCTTTCCTTCTCCAACATCATGCTTTGGTAAGTGATTAAACTCAACCATTGAAGTCCCGAAGCACACCTTTTTATCTCTCCTCTCTGTTAATATCTACTATGGATTCATGAGACTTGAAGTCTGCAAGTACATGTTTTGTTTCGCATTGTGATGCTTTAATGTTACGATCTTTAAACGTAAACATAGTTAATTTCTTTTAGAAAATTAAAAACAGGGGCACCTCTTAGAAATTGCATATAGTTTTTGAAAACAGGTCTATAAAAAACCGAAGGTCCAGCACGAGGGAAACTCACAGAAACTATATGCTTGCAATCGGGCAAGAAGATGATGCCAGTTACAACTTCAGCATGTCCCATGGCACTTGCAACCATTTGTCCCGTGAATAAGTCATATATGCAGATGGACTTGTTAGAGAATGAGCAGACCACATAAGTGCCGCTTGGATCCATTGTAACCTGCAAACATAATTACTTCCCAGCAAAACAGCATTTTAACATTTTGTAATCTTTTCTTGACCATGTAACTCACCTTTATAGGGTCTCCACAATTTTTATCTTGCTTGTACGACCTAATTAGCTTTCGATCAGTAATGTCAAATGTGTTTATCTTCTTATCCTATGATTAGGAAAAGAAAATCAGTACCTTCAAGCAGAAGCATTCTGGAATTACGATCAATATCTTTTTTCAAAAAAGGAAACAAACAGGAAAGTGTGCTCATATAGAATTAGGTGGGCTGAATATTGTGTTTTTTGGATAGTCTTTTAAGTCACTGCTGAGCACGAATAATAACTTTTGTTAACCATTACCTATATTACCTGCCCAACTGTGATTACAATCCCCAATCTTTGATCTACATCCATGTCATAAACAGTTCCATGCGAAGCCTTTAAACTATGTTGCTGCAGAATTTTATAATCAGCATCTGCTATCCTAATGTCACGAAGCACCAGCGAACTAAAAGTATGAAACAAAGGGTTAAGTTAATATAAAGGGAAACATTCAGTATCAAAAGATGAAAAAGGTTGGGCCGACTTCTTCTTGTAACAACATTCTACAACACCACTAGTCACAGATTTATCTAGGAAAGAAAAATAATATGCTCTTGATTCTATCGAAATTCAGGGTGAAAAACAAATATGATGAATCGGACTCACATTTATTGTTCATTTTTTCCCTAAACTAATAAATTAGAAATATAAACCGAATGATTTTTTTCAAATCCATTGTGAGAAACTTAAAGGGACGAAACTGTTTGATAGGATTTAACAAAAATTATAACCCTGATGTTCATAAATATATGATCTTGATCTGTGAAACTGATACTAAAAGCTGAGTGCATCGGACTATTGTAAGGTAGATGGGCCACACAAATAAAGCATAAAATCTCTTAGTCAAATTGACCACATAACAAGCCCCTTATTACATTTTGATATGATTCATCTGCTAAACAGATGATCTAAAGAAAAGCAAAATAAAAATTCTTTGGTAGTCTTGTAAGTTCCACAATTCATACCCATGCAAAGGTTGCATCAAATGTTGAATACAATGGTGTATTCTGTTGATATTTGTTAGGATGTATTTTCTAAATATAATCACAGCAGCGGCTTGGTAATGTTCAAACCCATTCTTTTGCTGAACATCGTCAGCCTCAGAATGTTCAACATCAAAATTTCTAAAACTTACACAGCCCATTTTAGTCTTTTTACTTCCTTTTCAAAGTTGTTACAATTTATGTGAAGACAAATTATATCATAATCTCTTTGAAGAGAAACTTGTATTTTGCCCCAACAAAAGCACAAACCTGTGCCAGCATACCTATCAGCACTACAACTGAGGATCTTGCAGTTGTTGCTTGTAATCTTTATTGAGGTCACTGCCGCCGAATGATCATCAATACTGTCAATGAGATTGAAATTTCTGCCGCATGCAAAATACAGGCAGTCATTGAATGATCATCAACCTCTTAGCTAAGTAAAACATTTACAAGACATACCTTCCTACATCGTAGAGATTAATTATACAATCTCTACCACCTGAAGCAAGATAATAACTATTGTTGGCGATTTCTTTACATGTGTCTTGGCCGCATAAAGTGAAGCTCAGCGTGAGGATCTCTGCACCATGAGCACTCTGAAAGAACAGCCAATCTTTACTCTTTAAAAGATTGCATAAATGACCATTAACAGGAGTGGAGGGGGGAGGAGACGGCATGTCCTCATATAGCATTTTACAGCTCAGTAGTCTTATAAAAACACTTAGGCACCTCAGTTCACCTGAATGCATGTGTAATCTGATGTTTCAAGGTTGTATATATGAAGGTTTCCTTTGCAATCACCAGCAGCCAGATACTTTCCATCTGAACTAGTGGCAAGAGACCGGAACCCTTGCTTGCCAACATCTGCTTCAACTGCTTCACGTTCGAAAGTCCCAGTAGTTACTGCAACAAGAAGCAGGAAACATGCAACACGAATACAAAAGTTTAAAAATATATTGCAGGTAGTCTTGATTGTGAGAGCCTGAACAGAAGATCACCGAATTGGCCACATTACCTAAACTTGAAGAACTCATTAGCTCAGCCTTTACAGAGCAATGCTCTGCAGCATCTTTTGGTAAATCAGATCGCAAAGCAAGATCCCATAGCCTTATCGTACCATCAGTAGAGCATGTTGCAAATGAAATTCCACCTGAACAACCTCTAGCAATGCATGCAAGAGATGGATCATGGATGTTTTCACAACATAGATTTTTGACATCCCATATACACGAGGAATGTGAAACTAGCACACAACACCTTGCAGCCTGGAAAATAGGGAAACATTTTGTTGCATCAATCACTGTTTCTCTCTGTTTTTTTGGGGGAGGGCCTTTAGGAGCTCTGTGCCAAAAATTATCAAACATATGAAGTTACAATGATATAAGTAGCACAAAAACCAGTTACCTGATTCACATCATGGATGCTCCAAATGCATAGACTATGATCCCCGTAAATAACCACTGTGGTGAAATATGGAGAATATTTTAAGGCACAACGTTATGACATGCGCGATCATCAAAACTAGGTTAATTTTGAACGCTCACCAAGCTTTTCTAAGGCTGAAAACTGACATGCTACTGCGTCCGGCAGGGGAGGCAACTGGTGAAAGTCCTGTTCAGGAACTTCAGCATGGCCAACTATATTTTTTTCATCATGAAACCTTTTTGCCTGTGAATATAATATGCTTCCGGTGTATTCTAGAGATTCGGGGGAAAACAATTGTACTATTCCATTATTGCACGCACAAGCAATTAGCTTCCTCGATAATGATAATGCAAAAGCTTTTTTAACCTGTAATACATAGCAGACTTTGTAAGAGAGAACGAAGAAAAAATCACCAGCAGTGTTCCCATAATAACCTATAACAATTTTAATCTAGCACAATTGACAATGACAGGAACAATTTGGATATTCAGCTGCTAGGGATGACAACTTCACCACGGTAATCTATTTTTAAAGTCCACCCAAATCAAAGAAGCAACTTAACATTTCATCTCCCAAAATTTCCACATTGGAAAGACACAATAAAACATGCTTAATTTTATGAAAATGATAATAGTTGAAATACCTTTAAATCCACTGACTTTTTGACGGTCACCCCAGAATCTATAAGGTGCAAAATTCCTGTACAGAGAGAATCGTTCGATCTTACGCAAGATATAATAATTTCTAAAAGTCCAAAGTACAAAACCTATAAGCTTTTGAGTAGTTCTGAACCAAATCAAACCTGCATCAGTCAATGCATATATGGGAAAACTGTCACCCACTTGTTTGAAATTATTGTCACTGATATTACTCCATACAGAAGAAGCAATGGATATAAATGAGCTTCCTCTCTGAATAGCAAGGTTGGCGGGCTTTCCATGTATTGCCAGTGATGTTGTCCTGCCCCTCCCTCCATTCATTTGACTTCTTCTAGATGACTCAAGTACCCAGAATTTCAAGTGCCTTGTCCCAGCAGTTATAATAAGTTTTGCATCCATAGAAAAGCCAACACTTTTGATACTAGAACAAGATGAAGTTGCTTGAAGCTTTGTAACCAGCTCACCACTTCGGAAGTCCCATAGGTATATATAAACCCCAACGGATACCAGATGTTTACCTAGGAAAGATATTATAGAATAAGTAAGAAAAAATAAATATAAATCAAGAAGGAGAATGTAGAAATCGCTAAATTGTAACTAACCATTGGGTGAGAAAGAGATGCAAGCAACTCCATGTAGATGACCTTTTAATTCAGAGATAAAGGATAGATTAACAGAATTCCATACTATAACGGAGGAGTGGCGCCCTGCCTGAAAAGCCAGTTAAATTGTTGTCAGATCAAAGTGTCACTGATGAAGTCACCGCGTGTTAGTCAGAAAATTTAGCCTTACCATTAACATGGAAAAGGAAAGGTTTTGTCACAAGCAAATTCAACAATAAAACCTGGAGAGGGTATTTGTAACTTGTATAATATTGCCCAGTGTTTAAATTGTTAAGAGGTTTCCCATTACACAACTTGTATAATGGACATGCCTGTTCGAGTGTAAGTGCAATACACGGTATATCCATCCTTGAGAAAAAACTGTGTGACGAAATCAGTGAGGATGGAAAATATAAGTGCCTGAAGATTGCTTCAATGATTCCTCTTGTTCATTAAGGTTTCGATTGGTCTGAGTCTGAATAAAACATCACTAATCAGAGAACAGTCGACGTCCACCCAGAAATTATAAATAATAATTATATCTAATTTTTTAAGGCACACCTTCCATGCGCCATAACTCGCAACAGGATGGGGTTATTTTACTTGTGGGGTCTAGAGTCTAGGACTTCTTATGATGATAATATTTAAATTTAAAAACAGATTAAAATTTAAAAATCGATTAATACCTCTCCAGCTGCAACAAAGTGCCCGTCTTGTGATAAAGCTACACAGCTCAAACGCTTTGGTGGTCGATGAGACAGCATGAGGGGCGACTGAGTACCCAAGTTGACATCATAAACAACCACCACGGAACCCGCCAGATAGGCAATTGTGGATGTCGAGACATTGGAAGCCAGTCCATTGCTATCCTTGCTCGTCAATCCAATAATCTCCTCCAAAACCAGCTGCAAAACTCAAACATAAAGAATGTAAAAAAGAGCATCCATTTTGACGTTAAGCTAGGCATAATCTGACAGAAGGAAAAAATAGCTGAAAAGGAATATCATTACTTATTGCGACTCATTCCCTATATAAATATACAAGTACTCTTTTTGCCAAGCTCGTCTTTCTCAGAAATTGCAGCTCATTCCCTATACAAATGTACAACTACTCCTTTTGCCAAGCTCGTCTTTCTCAGAAATTGCAGCTCATTCCCTATACAAATGTACAAGTACTCTTTTTGCCTATCTCGTATTTCGGAGAAATCAAACAGTAGTAGGTTTGAAACGCAATGCACATTTTTCGCTGGAAACCTCACCTTTGATGAATTATCATCTCTCTTGATCTTGCGAGCTGGTTTCATTCTGATCACGGGACAAAGGAAGCCCTACTTAAGAAATGGGTTGAACCTTCGAGATGATCCCAACTTCAAAATTTCATCTTTGTCACTGATGCTGGAGTGCGTTGAGAGAGAAGCGGGAATTTGTGCAAATGCAAATGCAAATGATAGGATTACCAGTTCAAACTTCAAACGGCCGTTATGATAAAACGCAGTGCGGAGAAGCACAGTAGATCCAAATTGCCAGGTCGTTTTGTTTCTTTTTTTAAAATGTTTTTTTTGGCCAAGGATTAAGAGGGGATTTGGATGAAAAATAAAAATCAAATCATAATTTTAGAAGTAATTTTCTGATAATCCTATTACAGAGAAAGAAAATATTTTTTAATATTATCTGTAAGGTATTGAGAAATTTTTTTTATATAAATATATAATTTTATTTTTGATTTATTATTTAATTTATTATTGTGTTGACTTTGTTTTTGTCTATTTCTTTATAATTTCTCTTCAAATAGTAGAACTTGCCTTGATTTTTATAAGCCCTCGAAATATGCACATACAAATTTTCTTTTGTTTTTTGTATAGCAATGAACATAAAAATTTTCAACATATTGATATTTGATTTGATATAACTACTATCAATATTATCATAAATATTTCTTATTTTTTGACCAGAACATAAATATTTCTTAAAAATATTTAAGATTCAGTATTTTAATTTGTTTAGATTCATTATTCGGATCTTGTTGAGAAGATGAGAAAATCCGGATTGGGTTGTTGAAGACTTCACAAAAAATAATGATCTAACTATTTATTAAAAAAGCAAATAGTGGTCTAACTGCTTAATGGGCACGTCCTCCAAATTCCAGGGGTTGTTGCCACTCATTTTTCTCAATCTTTTATAAATAAATAAAGCTTCTCATTAAATAATAGTAAAAATATACCTGCAACTTGATACTTTAAATGGAGATTTTTTTTAATTACGTGCTAATCTCTTATAATTTTATTATCATCAGCATTCCTAACTTGATTCATTATTAATAGCACTTGCTTTTTGGTCCAATAAAAATATCAAAATCAATCAATGGATAATTTTAAAAGAAAAAGATAAGGGGAACATAATCTTGTTTTATTAGTTGGTAGCCCTTCCTTATTTAACATTATGTGGAAGGAGCATCTTTTGCTCATTTTTCACCATACTCAAGCCACACAATGTATTAATTTTGGACAGTGGAATACTATTAACATACTTTTTCAATTCTTAATATATGATCTAATTGTTAAGTTAATTTTAGTCCTGCATATAAGGTCTATTTCTTATATTTACTAATTTTTTCTAAATTATCTCTATAGATACTCTATTAACGATAATCAAGTAAGTGAGGGAGGGAAGATATTAAGAAAGATAATTATAGTGTTTTAGGAAAAATATGTCATATTTTTTATAATTAACTAACTTATCTAACTTTCTTAATCTAATCAAATTAGTTAAATAGGTCTTATATTAAGAATCGGAGGAGTATTTTCTTTATTGATCTACATTACAAAAAGGAAAAATCATAAAAAAGATCCTTAAAATTAAAAAAATTGCATACAGGAAGCTATTCACAACAATTGTTGTCATTTGCTCATTAATTATTATCAAAACCTATACTAATATTGTAATAAGTCTTTATTTACAATTTTTTTATTTTAAAAGTCTTTTTTTTACAATTTTTCTTTATAAAAACCTTGAGAGAGTTTTGTATTAGCCACACAACACTCCTATTTTATTCGGGGTTTGTAACCTACTAACTTAAAATCATATTTTCCCATTTTCTTTCAATATAAGTAAAGTATGGTAATGGCAGTTGGATTAAGTAAACAAATCTGTGTGCTTAAACATGGCGATGAAAAAAAAATATTATACGAGTATTAGAAAAATTAATCTACTTAAGTCTGAGTCTGATAAGACTGAAATTTAACCAGACGATAAATTTTTTTTTTTTTAAAAAGAAGAAGTAATCTCACCAAGTCAAAACAAAAATAGCCTTGACTTTTTACGGAGTTTTTTTTTTTTTTTTTTGACTAAAAGGGAATTTCTCATTCGCTAATTACAAATCGATCGCGCCCTTCGTTTTCTCACCAACCCAGAACAACAACTTTCTGTTGCTTTCTTTTCTTGGCAGTTCAAATCTGCATTAGTGGGCAGGGATCATCCAATCAAAAGCTTACCCACCAACTAAGATACGCGGTGATTTCCCAATGCTTCCATCACAAAACATACCTCGTCAACATTCTCCATATCTCCATTTTCAAATCCATGTCTCTCTGCCTCTGAAGTCCTCTCCTTCCTCTTTCATGGCGGCTACAACCTCCGCACAGTTCCTATCACATTCCTCACCGTCTTCTTCTCCCCTCACTCCCCGTTCTGATTTAACCAATTTCCGAAATACTCAGTTACGATTCACATCTAGAGTCTCGGGAAAGCCCTTCTCCGTAAGATATATCAGGAGAAACAGAGGAGCAGGGACAGGGCGTGGTGAGGGTACGGCAAGGACGAAATGGGCAGCGCCGGCGAGGTGCACGGCGGAGGGGATAGAAGGAGGAATGGTGAGAAGAGAAGGAGGAGGAGTGCGGACGATGCCGGAGAGGTACAAAGTGGCGTGTTTGGTGGCGTGCGTAATGTGTCTGTGCAATGCAGACAGGGTCGTCATGTCTGTGGCCGTCGTACCACTCGCTGCCAAACATGGATGGTCCAGTTCTTTCCTTGGCGTCGTTCAAGTATGAAGCTATTGTGACCTCTCTCTCTCTGTACTTTTCTTTTCTGTGCGTCTTGTTTTGATTTCTTCTGTTTGGTTTTTGCTCATCAAGAATAAACGTGCTGGGGTTATGAAGTTATGGACAAATCTCAACAAAAAGTAATCAAAAAGATTAAAATCTGTGGGGTAGTATAACTTTACAAGATGACCGAGATTCACATTACTTTCTCCTCCTATCTTTAATATAAATATTAGTTAACCAATTTAAATAGATTAAAAAAACTAGTTAAATTAATTATTTATAATAAATATAAACTGTTTTTTTAAAAATATCTTTACTAATAAAGTGTCTTAGTTAAAATTATAGTTATTATAAGAACAACTTTAGTAAAATAAATAAATAAATATATTAACTACAGCGTTATTATTTATAAACATTTCCCAAGACAAAGGTCTCAATATCAGGTCTTTTCTCTTGGTCAAAAGAATAAAAGTCAGATCTCTTGACAAAGATCATAACACGTGGAATGACTTTGCGGCAAAACCGCCTTAACTTCAAGCTACGTTTTATTTCCGCAATAATTGTTAATATTTTATAATCTCTAAAAAATTAAAGATGAAAATAATTTTAATTTTAGTTTCTTTCTATATCCCACACATGCTTCATCAAGTACCCAAAAAATGTGTCTTTTTCTTTAGTGTCTCTGATTAAGGCACCTAACTTGAACTAAAATGCAAAGTAATATTTCCTCCATGCTCCATTGTTGCTGCGTTCCTTAGAAATAACTTCGTCATTTTAACAAAGCAATATTGAGCTTAATTAGTGGCTAACACTGAAACCCCAAAAAACAAATGAATGTATCAGTCATCATTCCTGTGGGGATACATATTGTCGTCAGTGATTGGAGGAGCTTTGGTAGACAGATATGGAGGAAAGAAAGTGATGGGTTGGGGAGTGGTTTTGTGGTCTTTGGCCACTCTCATTACTCCTTGGGCTGCCAACCGCTCTACGTTCGCCTTGTTAATGGCTCGAGCTTTCTTTGGACTCGCTGAAGGAGTGGCTCTTCCCTCCATGACCACTCTCTTATCAAGGTGATGCCTCCTTCATCCTCTTCTTCCTCATTCTACTGTGACTTGAAAACCACACATTGCTTCATCACACAAATTTTGGTTATAATTTCTCTATGATAAATAAGAAGAGTGTTTGTGAAGGTGAGCTTTGGAATAACGGTAAGAGACCTGGAGGTCATAGGTTCAAATCTTGAAAACAGCCTCTCTGCTTGCAGAGATAAGGCTGCGTACATTTATCCCTTTCCAGACCCCACCTGATGGGAGCCTTTTGCATGGGGCTGCGCTTTATATAAGAGTGTTTGTGCACTTGTTTTTCAAGCCTCAGCTTTCTTACAAATTGAAAGATGACTTAATCTTCAAATGTGAATAGGTGGTTTCCAAGTCATGAAAGGGCAAGTGCAGTGGGCATTTCAATGGCTGGATTTCATCTTGGAAATGTCATGGGCTTGTTGCTCACTCCAATTATGTTATCGTCCATTGGGATTTCTGGTCCTTTTCTTTTGTTCTCATCTATTGGCTTTCTCTGGGTGTTAACATGGGCATACCAAGTCTCTAATGATCCTCAAGACAGTCATTTCATCAGTAGATCAGAGCTAAGACTAATTCAAGCTGGACAAACCACTTATTCTTCCAAACAAACAACCAACTTCCCTCCCTTGCGCCTTTTGCTATCTAAATCACCATCTTGGGCTATCATTTTTGCCAATGCAACGAACAACTGGGTGAGTTCTATTTCTTTTCCTTAAGGTAAACGAAAATAATTATGCGTTCTCATGAATCCATTATAGTTTGGCATTACTAATGTTGGCCAGGTTACTTGCAGGGATACTTTGTTCTCCTCTCATGGATGCCAGTTTATTTCAAAAGCGTAATTATCTCCTCAATCTTTTGTCATTAGCTCTTTTTTATTTTATTTAATTTTCAAATGTATTCAGCATCACTTACTAAAGATACGTGGTTAATCTGTTTCTACATATAGGTATATCATGTAAACTTGAAGCAGGCAGCCTGGTTTAGTGCGGTTCCATGGGCAACAATGGCGATTTCAGGTTATATAGCTGGTGCAACATCAGACTCCTTAATCAAGGAAGGGTACCCTCTAACATTTGTCCGAAAGTTCATGCAGGTAATTCTTTAGCAGCTTCACGCTAAAGGACTTAAAATGTAGGTTTTACATGGAAACTGCAATAATCATTTTAGTTTTTCTGAAATGACCCTGAAATAATGATGTGCCATCAAGAGAAATCATGAAGAAACAACTTGGAATGTGAAATGACAGTGTTTCATTTTAAAGCAATTAGAGAACATGGAAGCACACAGAAATCATTTTGAGGGATATTGTGTGCTGATCTTTTCCATACTTGTAAATTACAGTCCATTGGATTCATTGGACCTGCTTTATCCTTGCTCTGCTTGAACTATGCCAATACACCAGCAACTGCTGCTGTTCTCATAACTGCAGCTTTGAGCTTGAGTTCTTTCAGTCAGGCGGGCTTTATGCTGAATATTCAAGTAAGTTCAAACATTGATTCTTGGGAAGAATTTATCATTCAAAGATAGCTAAACCAAGCCAACATGAATAGCTAAAAATAAAGAGATTCTTAGTTTTACAAAAATGTTTGCAGAAAAAGCAAATTGGATCTTCCATAATCATATGGCTATATATTTGAAGAGAAAAACAAAAAGAAAGTTAACTGTTGTATGGAATTAACTTTCTCTTTGCATCCATCCCCCCTATTATCTATCTCTACATGTATTGAAAGTGATGACTTTTTGTAACTGTAGAAGATTCGATTTGCATAGAGAGGAAATGAATGAAAACGTTAAGGGTTGATCCTTCTTAAAAATGCGTCAAACGTATTGATATGCTTTTTTTGTGACTGACTTGACCTACTTATCTTTTGGATTCTGTCTGCCGAAGAATATTTAGATATCTACTTTTGATTCGTTTGGTTTATTGGTTTGATGTATGAAGATTCTTTCAAATGAACTTTCGGTTGACATATAGGAGTCCTAAAAACTCACACCTTGTATGTTATGCGTATCAGGACATAGCTCCTCAGTATGCTGGATTCCTACACGGTAAGTCAAGCAAAATGTTATGATTTTCCTTTCTGGTTTTTTCACCTCCCAACAATCTTTCTTTAGATGTTCATTTATTATCAATATCTTACGTAAAAAAAATATGTTATGAGAATATGTTTCCTCGTGTTTTCAATATCTCACTGCAGGAATATCAAACTCGGCTGGAACTCTAGCAGCTATCATAAGCACAATTGGGACTGGTTATTTTGTTGAATGGTTGGGATCTTTTCAAGCATTCTTAACCGTAACAGCTGCTCTCTATTTTGTGAGCACCATCTTTTGGAACCTATTTGCCACAGGCGAACGAGTTTTTTGACGTAAAAAAGTAAGAAAAAAATGATAAAAAAAAACTGAAAATTATTAAATACTAAATAAGGAGTGTCAACAAAAATTTATTATCATTTATAAATTCAGTATTGCCAATACTAAATAAATTGTTGTTACCAAATTTCATGTGAGATTTAGTAATTTTCAGTTTTTTTTTTGGTTTGTTTTTTAAAGAATTAAAGTGTACGAAGATTCGTCTGTAACCTTGGCATCTGAGAGCGGGCACACATTCTTATTTACTTAAAAGGTGGACGTGTCATTCTTTTGGCCAATGCAAATCCCACCAAGACTGAGATTTTTTGCCCCAAAGTAAATTTCTATGTGATATATGTTTCTGTTCGAATTATTTAGTTATCAATTGCATAGACCTCACCCTTCATATACTCAACGGGACATCTGGTGCACACTGAAGCAACTCAATACCATTACTAGAAAACATAATAATTTCATGACCTAATAGCTAATAGCTTAGTGGCATAAAAACTAGAAGATCATGGGTTAAATTTCACTTGGAACTTCTTCGGTATATACATACTATTTTTTTTTTTTTAATTTTTGTGGATCCAAAAGATGTTCATCTTAAATTCAATATATCAAATTACTCTTGCACTATTTACTAATATTGTAATTTTTTTAAAATAAACTATATATTTACATAATAATATTTTTTAAAATTATAACTAGCATTTAATTTTAGGTATGTCTCCAAATAGCTATATATTTACGTGGTTTTTTAAATTACTATATTTAACACTAAATCTGCAAAAAATAAAAGATAATTTTTACAATACTTACATCAATTATGTCCAGTTTTTTTAATAATATATGGCCACATGTTTTATTTTTAAAATATTAGTATTTAATTATAAATTCATATGAAATAAAAAAAGACATGAAAATTTATGACTTGAAAACTTGACATAATCTTTACTTAAGTTTTTTTTTTCTTTTTAAAAATGATATACTATCATTCTTCGGCTTGTGTTTTTACTAGACAGCAAAGAGGTAAAAACCGGACGACGAGCATTCGAATTCCAGCTCAACAAAAGAAAAGGACAATTTATGCATTCATTTTAAATATTGTTGAGAAAGAAGATATTACTTTTGTTTTGTTGGTGTATGCGTGACTGCAGGCCACATATTCGACATTTGTATAGGAATTTATTTGAAATTACTTTTTTCTTGGCAAAAAGAAATCATAAAATTAATTACTTGATACAAAATCATATAATGAATTTTAGATAAAAGTGCTGTGTCTTTAATTTTATATAAACCTTAGTTCATATCCTTCATGTTTTTCCAATTCTTTAATCGTAATATTACAATGATGATTTTTTGTCCAATCATTATTATTTTAAAAAAATTAGAGATAACATACCAATATCTGTAAATGTTTTATTTATAAGTGCTCTTTTATCATAATTTTCAATTATTTTACAAATTGAATGTTCACTTATCCCTAGAAGAAACGGAGGTTCAACTTCCAACCAGAGAGCGCTTGACGCTGAAGTCTGATCGGTAATTACTAGGCGAAGATCACAAGTCCGCGACTGATTCATCGATATCCAATTCGGAGTCCACAGTTGTGGTCCTCGTCAAGATTCTTCATTTTCATCGTCTTCCTACAACTGATTTCAAGAATACCAATAGTCTCTGTGAATTCAATCCCTTCAATTTCATGCCCACCTGAGTCTTTGAGCTTCATTTCTAATTGGGGTTTTGTTTTTCACTGTCAAATCGAAGACTTTTTGCTTATGAGACTCTGGAAGCCATGAATTTTAGAAGCTTGGAAGATTTCTGGGCTTTCTACATGAACCAACATTCAAAGCCATCCACAAGGCGTTGGCACTTTGTGGGCACACTCTTCAGTATCATCTTCTTTTTCTGCTCTCTCTTGTTTAGCTGGTGGTTCTTGGTTTTTGTACCTCTCTCCGGGTATGGATGTGCTTGGTACAGTCATTTCTTCGTCGAAGGGAATGTTCCGGCGACTTTTGGGCATCCGTTTTGGTCCCTCCTTTGCGATTTCAAGATGTTTGGTTTGCTTACCGGTGGAATGGATAGAGAGATCAAAAGGCTGGGGAAAAGACCTGTTCTTCAAGTGTTCTGATTTCGGTGTAAGCAACTTCAGGTCTTTTTAATCACATCTCGAGCGAAAATAGTCTGCTTCTTGATTTATATTGTTCAGAAACTAGGTGCTCTGCGCATTTTACAGAAATTGAGCAACGCTTTATATAAATTGGATATTTGATATTGATATTTAGTGGTAATTGTTGGCCATATACTTGATTATAGTGAGTTCGTTGGCCTCTATGTTATATCCTGTTGGGCTGGATGATTTTGTTACATTTTTATGCCTTAGAGAACCCGTGGGCGTGTGCTATGCTGTAGGTCGATGGTTTGGATGATTTTGCTCGCAGATTATAACTGAAAATTAATCCCACAGGCTAAAGAGAACTAAAGGAATCTGATTGGCTGACCCCCAGAATTCAAAGACATGAATGTTGAAATCTTTTGATAATGTCAAGAGCTCAGTTCTCAACCTGAAATGGACGATGTGCTGAAAAAACGTAGAGCAGACTCTTCACAATTACATGTTTCAATCAATTTACGCTATAAAATTTTAGTCTGCCTTTCTTCAACATGTCAGGCGGTTTAACCTTGTTGGGATAGCTTTTACTTTTTACATCTAAAACTTAATTTGTTTATGGAAAAACAGAGAAAGCTCGCTTTGAGCTTTGAGCTTCTTTGCTGGAGTTTTCATTTCCTTGGATCTTTTGTTTTTGTCTTGTTTTTCTGGTGCAGTTTCATGAAGGTGTTGAAAGATTAGAGTTAAAATTCGTCTATGACATAAATTGAAAATATAATGTCTATATTTCTAAACAAGCAGTAAAACTTCTAAGTTGGTTGTAATGTGACAATAGGTGTAATATCCTCCACTATCAGCCTTCAGTCAATGGACCTTTTGAACGAGTGGGACGTTCATAGTTTTCATTATTAAATGGGACCAGCTTATTCAATTGAAGGTTCAGTAGATTTATATTACCTTTACTGTTGTTTCTTGTTTGACAGCAAAAACTTTCATTATCATCTTGGTTTGTTCCTATTTTTCATGCTTTCATTGGAACATAGTTCTTTTATAGTTTTCTGCCCGGAACTGAGTCTGTATGATAGTTCAATATGTTTAGTGTGTCCACAGTCTATGTCAATAACCTATTATCCTGTATGCACCTGTGAAATACCAGTTATGCAAAAGAAAGCTTTTAGTTAGACCTAGGGATGCAAATTCCTTGTCATTGTTTAATAGTGGATTTTTGATCCCCAGTCAGGGATTCCAATTAATATTTTACTGAGTTGTTAGAATTTGGACGTTAGCTGTCCATATCCCAGACAACCATTTACTTAATTTGTTTGAATACTTTGTGTTGATCTTCTAAAGTTCATATGTATATAGGAGTACTTACTTGTTTTTCATCTCTGTCTAATTGAAGTAACTGAAAAATTATTTGAGTTCAAGAACATTTCTGAGTGTTGTCTTTTGGGTTCTCCACCGCCTAATCTAAGTCAGAAGTGAACTCCACTGTAAAGTCAACCTGGCATGTTTGCAGTTCTATTCATAATTGGTTTATATATAAATATTATTTTTATCATTTTTAAACTCGCAAGTGTTTGTTACCTTATTTTGTTGTCATGGGCATTGTGTTCACAGGTATATGAATTCATGACTTGAGATGTCAAGACCAATACCAGTATGAGAAGATGGATGTACACATGCATATGTTTGGCCACCAGTCTTTGACTGGGATGGCTGTGTTGTTCAAATTCAAAATCATGCTATGAATGTCAAGTCTACTAGACAGCGATCTAGTTGACTTCACATATCTGGGAGACTAATTATTTTTAGTGATATCATGGTATTCTATGGTTTTTATGTCCATTGAAACATTAGTTGCTACTTGTTAGCATGGGTGAGTCTCTATTCAATAAGTTCTTGTATCTGTAATGATCTTAGATTCTCAGCAAAACTTGTCCGGAGGCTGTATTCTGGGAAATAAGATATTTTTGGACTTTTATCAAAACAAAGATATTAGAGTGCACGTAGAATTTCATGGTCTTTGTTCCCTCGAAATTACTATAGAACATTTAACAAGCATGCCATGATTATAAGAAGTAGGGTTTTATCGTGTTTATTCTGCCTGCTTTATAAAATAATTAACAGGATCAAGCTGTCTTGAAGGTTTCTGAGGACTGTCTTGTAAGTGAAGAGCCTTTGGTAAATTGCTGTGCAATGACACAGCATGCATGAGAAGTGTTGCTACTAAGTTATTATGAAGCACATCACAAAATGTTAGTTGAGATAGTAAGCGGTTTCATTTTCGTAAGGAAGAGAACAAAATTTGAATTTTGGTAAGCGCACTTATTTGGAAGGCTTTAACTTTAAAATTCCCAATGTGATAAAAATTAGTCTCAAGCATAAAATAACTCAAGAATATTCTGGGTATATATGCATATATGTATAAAGAAAGTTATTGTAAAGGCCAAAAAAAAAAAAAAACTGCAAACAAGTATCTACATGTTATTTTATTTTTTTGCCAGGTGTCCATATGTTATATATGTACACATACATTATAAAATGCACGATTGTCATTATTAACAGTGCAATCTACTTAAGCTCATATGGGAAGTTGAAACCCACCCATCTGGAAAATACATTAACCCGTTTGAACATAATTGTATGATGCACATGTAAAAGATGGAAGGGATGTCCAAACGTGTATTAAACTCCTTAACAAAATCCATTAATTAATAAAATCCAAAATCCAAGCTCTTATTAGTGGAAAAATGAACAGAATCAAGTACGTACAAAGTAATATGAAAGGCTAAAACTCGACTTTTTTCCCCTCACTTTCTTTCCCTTCCTTTTTTGTTGATGCTACCTTTTATTTCCTTTTGGTTCAGGTAATATGAAGATAATTCTTATATAACTAGAGTTCATACTACTCAGGTAATATATTAAATAGACAAGTTCTGGAAGTTTTTTTTGGGGGGATTTATCAAGATTCGAGGTAGAAACTTTCAATTTAGAGACGCCTCATTTCCTTCTTTCTGATCCCGTATTTAATGCTGGAATTTGAATTATTTAAGAGATGGAATTTAGGGGGCCCTTGAATCCCTTCTAGTGTTAATAAAAAAACTAATACTCAATAAACAATATAGGGAAAAGGGGGACAAGTGGGTGACGATGATGAACATAGCTTGATATGATACCATAGTAACTTGCCTCGCTCTTAGTAATATCGATCAATTAAGGTGGTTGCGTATCTCCAAGCTTCTGGAGTGCTTTCTCACCTTCAAATTCTTGCGGCCTGCCGTACACTGCAGCTTCCTCATCTCTAACGATAGGCACAGGTTGAAAAAAAAGAATGAATGATAGTTTATGGTAAAATAAAGAGAGAATGATGGCTTTAAGGTTTCTTATTAGTTAGTGTTGAATGATATTATAGTTTTGTTTCCTTTTAGTTTTTCCCGCCTTCAAAATATGCTAGACGAGTTCAAATAATTCATCTCAATTAGAAAATGATTTTGCGTTTTTTTTTTTGAAATATGAGAACATCATATATGTGTGTGTGCATGCACACGCATATGTACGGATTGCTAATTAGTTTGAAAACAACTTTACCTAAGAACATTTGGAGGGTGTTTGGATACCCCAATAATCACTTTTCAGAAGTACTTTTTTTCAAATCGAAACACTCTTTCACATATTTACTTCATATACCGTAAAAACACTTTTGAAACCATAGTTTTGATCTTACCCAAACACCTTTTTGATCTACTAACAGATCACTTGGATCATAAAGTAGGTGAATTGAGTTTTAATACTAACTTGTTAGAAAAAGAAAACTGAATCTGAATTAGTCTGTTGTTCGTATGCCTAACAGTATGATTCCAAAAAAGGCGCAAGACACTGAGTGGCCCAAAGGTTCATAAATAAAAAAAATCACCTTTGGAATGCAACGATATTTTTGTGGCTGTTTATTCTTACTGTATAGTTGAACAAAATCCAATGGTCGGACAACTTTTTTACTTTCTTCTTTGATAAAACCAGTCATAATAGGGATTTTGGATTGAGCTGCTAGCATCATTTTCATGGAAGAACAAAAGATACAATCGGTATTTCTCTTGGCGCTGAGAACTTCATCTGAACAAGAGCGTTGGAACCAAGACATGGGAAAAGGATAGACAATGGAAGGGTCTTTTGCACTAATATTCACAGAATGAAAAATCTGACTGATATAAGGGAAGCAGAATCTAGGAAACAGCTACCTTTTGAACGGCTTATAATCACTACATGAGAAGAAAATTGATACTTTACATTGTGATCCTAAACCTAATTCTCTTTATCTGAATATTCCGGCCTCATTTTGAACTATGCAAACTGGACAATACAACTCAGCTGCACAGCAAATACCAAAGGGCCTAGCTAATTACAGAATAGAAGCAGGCAGCCTATATGTGTGATGGCCACATCATAGTCAAATCCAATTACAAATTGAAATTAATCCCACAGACAAGCATCAATAGATGCAGCTGATCTTGTTTTTCCCAGATCGAATGCACTTCTAGCATCTTATTCTTACCGATAGAGAAGATGTCATGGGCATCAAATGCCAGTCTCACCAATCACCTCCGGCGTGCTGCACCAAAATGGTGGTGGGCTTTGCTGTCATTTTTTATCCTGTCAGCATACATCGGAAGGCGAATTATCTCGTAAATTTCATTCAACAAGATATCCTGTGTGATGTTGTCTTTTATGCTCCGCATAACCTGTAGTATATTGAAAAAACATCAGAAAGAGAGAGAGAAAAGAAAAGCTGAGCTAAAGTACAGCTTAAGACAAGCGGAGGAATATAGCTAAAGATTAAAGGGCCAGAGTAGGACCTTCTTGTAAGTATTAACATCATTTGGAGTTGATTTATCTGTCCTGGTTCGCATGTATACCCATTCCTGTTCATTTAAATCCCAAGAACACTCTATAATCTTCCCCGAATAAAGCAAGGGATCTGAACCATCTGCAGATAGGACTATCCAGTGAGTAATAGCAATGAAACCAGTCAAAAAGGAAGAATCAGTCATGAGCTAAAATTAGCCTTCACATCAAAACAAATCATAGCGGATAGTATTATTAAAACATGATCCCAAGACATTGATAGCGATAGCAACCATTTCTTGTCCTAACCAATTTCATGGCAAGCGCTTCCACTGAATGCTTGTGACATACGAACATGTGCTACACAGAAATTAACAATAACAAAGCCAAAGATATGACTTGCAAGGGCACCAAGCAGAGGCAGCTTGCATAATCAAAACTGAAAGAGGTGGTCGGCATTTATTTTCTTTTCTTTTAACAGAAAAGGATCTCATCTGACTAACCTCTGAATGCAACTCTACTCCCTTCCATGAGTCTCTTCTTTCCTCGTTCATTAAGGAACAGTGACTGGCGATCATCATCAATCTGTTCACAGAAGATAAAAATTAGGAAGATCACAAGTAACAAACTGGAAGTGACCAAGAATACGTAAAAAAGAAGGGGAAATTAAACGCAATATCCCAAAATCATATGCTATAAGCTGATGATACACCTCAAAGAGAAAATCTACTGAATTCATCTCAGGATATTTCCACTTCAGGAGGCCTTCATGAGTGCGGGGTACATAAGGATCATCCCAACCCTGAAAATTAATAACATCAGTAAGGACCTAAATTCAATTAAAAGCATGAAAAAGGAAAAGTAGAATTTCATCCTCAGGAAGTAGTACGCAAATCCTGATTTGACAGCCAATGAAAGCAAAGTAAGGGGGTGTTTGGATAAGAACAAAACTATGGTTTCAAAAGTGCTTTTATGGTATACGAAGTAAATATATAAAGGAGTTTGCCTCGATTTGCGGAAAAGTGCTTCTGAAAAGTGTTTCTAGGATTATCCAAACACCTCCTAAATACCCTAAAAGGTTAGCATTGAGACAGAAACAACTTATCAACTTATCAGATAAGAGGGGAAAATAATTCTCATGTTAAGTACATTGACACTGATCGAAAACCCACCTGAAATATGAGGCCATCTGCATCATGTGAGAGTTTCTTAATGAATTCATTTAAAAGCTTTGTGACAGTAGAGAGCAACCAAAAATCTTTCCTCCTCACCTAATTAAAAAATACAAATATATTACCAGACAAGTTAATATAAAAAAGAAAAAGACATGAAGCTTAAACTCTGATCAGTCTAGGGTTAGTGATGCATACCCTGAATGGTTCCAGGTCATATCTATAATAAGGATTTCTACTCTGGTATGTATTATGCCGTTCCTGGTTTCTAGGTTCAATCACCTCTTTCTCAAGCATCTTCCACCGTTCATAGAACGGTCGCTGGACCAAAATTCAAAACTTTGAACACAACGAGCTAGGTGCAGTTTTTTTTTTAATCAAACAATAAACAAAACAAGAAAACATATTACATATTATTAAACAAACATTAATATAAAAGACAAGCTTAGGATGAAAAGGAAATTCCAGTCAGGCAGGATGAATATCCACACATAAAAGCAATTTTGAGGCAGTAGCACCTTGGACAAAAATGAGAAATATGTGTATATCAGTGTTTGCTAATTTATGCAACGACATATTCCCCTGTGCAGTAATAGATGTCTAAAGGCCTGGGGCCAGTTGATGGAATCAGACCATAGATAATATGAAAGGAAATAGGAATGTGTTAGAGAAAATTAGTAAGTACACAGAACACCCAAAACCTCTAATAAACCAGAGGGAAATCTCCCCAATAGAGTAACAAATCAATTCAAATCTGCCTAATGCTACTTCCATGCATCTATTTATTATGTAAAACGCACAATTAAATAAACTAAACTCCTAGGACCTATATTAACGCGACTACATGCTGCCTAAAAATTTGAATAGTGGCCCCACATCAAATTGTGCCTTCTCCAACTTCTAGGTTGACCTGGCCTGCCACTACCCACTATTTCCATCCATGCCAGCTCAGTAGCTCTTTTGTTTCTCCAGAAATAGGTACAAATGCTATTGGATTATTGGATTCTCATCTCAATGATTCCCACCAAAATTATACATAAGTAGCGCACGCCTGAATCTTCTAATTGAAGCAATCCATAGTTTCTATCTATTACAGAGCCAACAGCAAAGCATGAAGGAAACACAGTTCTCTTCATCCCCAACCCGCACCCAAGAAAAATTAGAAAGCGTATAGATCTTGAAACTGCCGGAGATGCAATAGGTACATTTAGACTGCAACATGAAAAAGGTGCTGTTTTGCTAGCAGCACTAATAAGAAGGGAGGTAGACAATCTAGAGGAGAATCATTAAGAATCCATCTACAGTTTACCAGTTGACAATGAGCATCACCATTAAGGATGAACCAGGAAATTAAGGAGTTTAGTTGCATGGCAAATCTAGAACGTTTTAGTAATGCATCACATAATTAGAGATAACAGCAAGTGGGAACCATAAATTTTTCCTCCGCAACAAGTATGAACCAATATTAGTTAAAAGCAAAAGGTGAGCATCCAGCCTTATAATGGGATGAGATATAAAGCAAACCTCTATTACTGGTACATGGTTAATTGCTATCATATCATATATAAGATATCTCCTCTCCTGTTTCTGTGAATCAGGCAACGTATCAATGATCATCTCCCCATCAAGTAACGTGTAGTGGTGGGTCTTCTCAGCCAAACCCTTAAAACCGAACATAACAAAGTGTCAATTTGGGCATCAATAAATTAAAACATCTCTGACAGCCACTCCCAGGAACTTCCAGTACAAAGTTGCACACATACATCATTTGAGCCTCTGCAAGGAAACCTCATTTGCACCCTTCGAAAATTGAAACTTCTATCAATCAAGTAACAGCCATCCATAGTTATTAGCATCATATATCTTGTTCCATCGGCTTTCCATGTTGCATAATAATATCGCTGTCGTAACAATTGTAAATTTTCCCTGAAATTTTAATATAATCAAATCTAGTTAAAAGATAAGGGACAAGGCATTGGAAATAACTTCTACAACCAATACGATTATCACAAGTAAAATGTAAAAACCATGGATGCATAGAGATAGATGACAAATCCAAAGGTGAAAAAATGCCTCTGAAGATGTGGGTATTCCTCTCAAACCAACAACCACATATTCTGCGCCTTACCACAAAATCAACACCCCCAAAAAAAAAAAAATCTTGTTAAGAACCCTCTCAAAGAATTTGTTGGAACTGGCCCAAGGCACAAGGACATACCCGACAATATCTAAAATACCAAAGAGGCTGTTTGAAGGGTAACTCAACGATGGACAATAAAGAAAAAACAAGGGCAAAGTTTCTAAATCAGATTTCCACATGACACGAATCAAGAGAAATGGTTTTATGGGGCCATCAAAGCAGCATTATCAACAGCGTTTATCCTTCTAACTATTGCAGTCTAAACAAAGGAATTGATATTATGAGGAGCTTTAGATTTGAAAATTTTCTTATCAATTACAAACCTTTTCCTCCTTGTAGAATGAGTATGGAACCAAAAATAGGATTTGCAAGAGAAGAAGTAGATGAATCAAGATTCCAAACTCACGCCTCTTGACTTGAGCAAAAAGGAACAAGAACTATAAAAGACAAGGACTAAAGCTCACTGCTCTCACACCATTCTCATAACAAGAATATTCTTAGATCAATTGGAATTGGAATAAAAAAATAGAAACAAAATTTAGGATGGGAGAATTCTGCATGGTAAAAAGCCAATTATGACAAGGCATGATTCAGAAAAGGAATAATTTCCTCTCAAATATCTTCACAAAATCTTTTTTTCATGCCATCACCCACAGACTCAATTTAATTTGTATTAATCATATATCAGATATTAAAGACAAAGGAAGACAAAAAAGAAGATGCCCATGAGCATTCAAATGCTAAAACACCTTGATAATGATGAGTTAAAGGGACGAAGAAGCACTAAAGTACGGCCATTCAAAGAGCTAGCAGCCCCAATTTCAAGAGTCCT